AAGATCGTCGCCTAAGATTATTGGCCTTAAGGGACCGTTTCTCCACTATCAGGTCCATTGCAAATGAATGGTTTGTAGAACACGGAAGACCTATTGGCATGCGAAGTGTTTACCGACGAATGAGAAGTTTTGGTTTGTTTTCATACCGGCAACACTGGGTCCTCCCTTTAACTCGAAAACACCGACGTAATCGCCTTGAGTGGTGCAGACAACGGTCACTCTGGGATCAGGAATGGAACAGTATTGTCTTTAGTGACGTGTCTCGATTTTGTTTAGGCATGCACGATGGTCGTGCCAGGGTTAGAAGGCGACGTGGTGAAAGGAGGAATCCACAGTTTTTTGTTGAAAGACATGTTCATCACACTGTTGGAGTTATGGTTTGGGGTGCTATAGCTTATGGTTCCAGGTCACCTTTAATCTTCATCAGAGGTAACATGAACGCGCAGCGTTATATCCACGAAGTTCTAGAACCCCATCTTTTACCCTATCTTGACACCCTGGCAGATCCAACTTTCCAACAAGATAATGCCCGACCACATGTTGCAAGAGTCACAATAGACTTCTTTCAACATAATGATGTCACATTGTTACCATGGCCACCAAGATCTCCCGACTTATCCGCAATTGAGCACTATCACCAAGTACTTGGACTAAAAATAGTTTTTTGTTCGAGGGTTTGCTTTGTTTTTAGATTTTTCAGAAATGAACGAAAGTACATAAGAATACTTATAAGAACTTTAGAATAGTGCACGTTTCTGTAAATTTATTTGTATAATAATGCATTACAGGGTGATCAAGATAAGGATCAGACTAGGTTTAATTCAGTAATCACATCTGACATCAAGCAATAGAAAAAAACACGTTTGGTTATAACTCAAAAACAAATGTAACCTGATACATCGTTGAAGTAGTAGAAAAAGAGGATATTAGATACAGTAGTACTTTTTTTTTGGGTCATATAAAAGTTGATGATGGTTTCTCAAAAACGAAACGTCAGGCATTAGTTTTTTGATATTTCTTAAAATAATTTCAGACAAAAATAAAAATGATTTGGCCAAATATTAGTTTTTCCCAAATAGCTCAGTATATGACTAACAGCTCAGGGTACGCAATTTATTTAAAAAACATAGGATGTCCACCCTAACACACAAGTAGATGAGTATGCAAGGCTTACCTAGTTCGCTGCACAGATATCCTGTTTTCCTCAGAAGAGTTGGAAGTAGACCTGATTTCCACTTTGGAGAAACTTGACACCCACTTCACAACACTGAGAGACAATCGAGAGCCCTATAGTGAACACCACCACTGAAAAACGAAGCGAAAACAAATTGGGCTCTGCACGGAGCTGTGAATGCGTAGACACTCCGCCGCGTCGACGGTTGCCGAGAGACTGAAGCGCGTGCTGTACCTCGCTGCGGCGACACGGAACGGCCGGGTAGTACAGCCACACCCCTTTCCAGCTCCCACTCCGCGCGCCTGCTCCCGAAGCGATTCGTTATTTACGTTGGCCGGTAGCAGACGCGCAGAGTGGGAGCTGGAAAGGGGCGTGGGTGTACTATCCGGCCGTACCGTATCGCCGCAGCGAGGTTCAGCACAGCTGCGCCGACGATTACCGACAGACTAAAGCGTGTGGGTGCTGCGGTGCTGTATCTCGATGTTTACGTTGACCGACAGCAGGCGCGCGGAGTGGAAGCTGGAAAGGGGCGTGGCTGTACTACCCGGCCGTACTGTATCGCCGCAGCGAGGTACAGCACTCACACGCTTCAGTCTCTCGGCAACCGTCAGCGCAGCGGAATGTCTACGCGGTCACAGCTCCGTGCAGAGCTTTATTCGATTTAGCTACTTTTTTTCAATAGTGGTGTTCACTATAGGGTTCTCGATTATCTCTTCAAATTAAAATTTTCAGGTATTGATGAGACCACATGTAAAAAGATCCGACTAACCGCAATCCAGGTGACAAGAATAACAAGGTCAACTGTCAAAACGTATGTCTATGCTGGGGTAACGACGGAGTCATTTAGAACGTCAAAGCGGCAGTTTTCCAATCTTCATTTGCATTTTTTTTTTGTTGTGCGACGATTTCGAGAATAATTTCGCTCCGGATAGTCTTCTAGAGCCTAGTAGACTATATTTCAATAGTTGTCTTGCGTGGCTATGTTATCTTTACTCGGGCAAATTTTGTTTTTGATTTATCACCCCGTATCTTGAAAACTCTGCATTCAGGACCCATGTTCATAGAAACTTTTATATACAGGGTGTCCGCAAAGTTGGGGTTTTCCTTTTCAGAAACAACTACCCTTGAAATAACAAGGGTAATGTGTAGTGAAACGAGGGCGGCCAAGTAAAAAAAAAATAAAGGAAAAAGTACTCACTCTCCAGTTGACGAGAATGGCTAAGTACGTCTCTGCCTGAAATCGAAAATTATTCACCCCATTACGCGTGAACGTAGATTCGTCTGTCACCAATATGCACTTCAAAAAGTCCGGATTATTGTCATGTTGATGCAACAACCACTCACAAAACCGCACTCTTGCTGGAAAATCGTCAGGTTGAAGGGCTTGTACACGTTGGACGTTTGCCACACTTTAGTTTTTGATACTTGCACGTCTCTAGTCCTTGTTGAGGGATTCTCGTCTACGCGATTCAGTAGTTCTTCCTCAACTTGCACCATTCGTGGTTGTCTAGGCCTCCCACTGTGCCCACCTCGAAATTCCCCCAAATAGCCCGTATCCCTGACTGTCTGGACCAGGTACACAAATCTGCGGGGCCTTGGATGATGTCGTCTAGGGAAACGATCTGCATATACTCGCGACGATTCTGTAGCATTTTGAAGACATTCGCCATAAATTAACAACATATCAACGAGTTCATTATTGGTGTATGAGTGTGCCATTATTATTTTTTTTTTTGAAACGCAATCGATTATACGGGTTCGTTACCTCTATACGCGTGACCCTTTACCGTCGGTTGAAGGTTGCATACTGACCTGACACACTGACCCCGACCCCCGTCCCAGTTCTGTCGTCGGGTTCAGCTAGTAGCCGGTACCAGTCTGGGATATCACGGCGGGTCGCGGCTACAGGACGGTATTCAGATATTTTTGATGTTGCAGAGCCCTTTATCTCGGTTCCCTTAAGACATTGGTGTATATGGTACTAAGAAAAATTGCTTATGTTTTCAAGATCTACACGTCGTGTAAAGGAAAACCCCAACTTTGCGGACACCCTGTATATTTTTTAACAAGGAATCTCCCTATATCTCCGTCTATTTCTCGAACACCCTGTAGAAAGATGGGAATGTTTTGTTTCTGGAAGTCCCCGAGTGTTGGCAGCACTATTTGCTCTGTTTTGACATATACTGTAACCTTACATTTCAATTTTTTACTCTCCGATTTCCCGAATTGTAGTTCTAGTAAATTTTCAAGTTCTGGACTGAACTCCTTTTCTAAGATGTCTCAGAAAGTGGATTGGGCAAAATACGTCGCCGAAACAGAGCAAAATATTACGAATAAGGTGAGGACTAGTTTTTAAGTTGTTGAGCCAACCTATTGAGAATATCCATCTTATAGCTCAACACTGTAGAGATCAGCAGTAGCGAGGAGGAAAAGAAAGAAAAAGTCAAAGAAAACGACGAAAACGCACCGGAACAATTCAGCCCGGCCGAAGCTAGTTTGCTGGCTAAAATAATTCGTAAAGGGCTTGTAGAAAACAAAAACAGCATTGAAGTACAAAGGAAAGATCCCAAATCGCCGCTGTACTCCATCAAATCGTTTGAAGCTTTGAATCTCGCACCCAATCTTCTGAAAGGTGTTTTATGGAATGGGGTTCAATGCACCCTCAAAATACAAGAAACCGCTTTGCCGACATTACTTGCAGATCCACCGCAAAATTTGATAGCGCAAAGTCAGTCTGGCACAGGAAAAACCGCCGCATTTGTACTAGCAATGCTCAGCAGAGTTGATGTAACTCAAAATTATCCTCAAGTGCTCTGCCTATCACCTACGTATGAACTAGCAGTTCAAACAGGCGAGGTGGCAGCTCATATGGCAAAATTCTGCCCAGAAATCGAGATGAAGTTTGCTGTTAGAGGTGAAGAGGTCCCTAGAGGTACGAAACTCACAGAGCACATTATCATTGGCACCCCAGGCAAAGTGTTAGATTGGAGTAAGTTTAGAGTTTTTGATCTCAAGAAAATAAAGGTGTTCGTGTTAGATGAAGCTGACGTGATGATAGCCCAGGAAGGCCATCAAGATCAATGCATTAAGATACTTAAGAATCTTAGCACTAGTTGTCAAATGATGTTCTTCTCGGCTACTTATGGCCAAGAAGTTATGGAGTTTGTAGAACACATTGTCAAGAATCCTATTATTGTCAGACTGAAGAGAGAGGAAGCGAGCTTGGATAACATTAAACAATATTGTGTTAGGTAAGAGAGATCTTTACTTTACACATATTCACAGCTTTTGTAAGTGATGTTAAAAAATAGTATCAACTAACTGGTGGACAGTTGCTTGGAACATTTTACCCAAGTTCAAATGTTTTTGGAATGAAAAGAGATATCGAGTTGCAGTATTCGGGAGGTTCTTGACGAACTCTTTGAGAACATGCACAGAGTTTGACCGGTATATTTAATTTAATTATCCGCTTATACAGGGTGAGCAAAGCAAGTCAAGTTTTTTTTCAGCAATGTTCGGGGCTACGTCAGCTGCTCAATTTTTTATCTTGGAATTTTTTCTATGCAGCTTTTTGATCTTTGGAGTATCCAAAAAAAGGGATATCTCAAATTTTTCGAAAGTTGGCTGTAACTCAAATTTTTAACTTGCTGCAAATAGGACGTTTCTCAGGTTTCATCCTAACTACATACCTAAAAAGAATGAATGAATTGTACAGGGTGGCCCATAAGTCCTTTGAGCTGGAAAAAAAGGAATAAAACCAAACTAGTTACATTATGAAGAATTATTATATTTTGTTATCATCTTTATTGAATGGGAATTATGTTTTAAAATCACATTGTCTAAATGCAATCCATTACGATCACGGCACTCATATAAACGACGTCTAAAATTGTCGATGACTGGGCGGCAAGTCAACACTGTAATGCTTGCCATTTCTCTTCGGATATTTTCTTTCAGGACATCAACTGATCGCGGAGTGGTGTCGTACACTTTACTCTTGAGGTAGCCCCATAAAAAGAAGTCCATTGGGGTCAAATCTGGACTACGTGGTGGCCAGGAAATGTATCCTCTTCGAGAAATTAATTTGCTGGGAAAAAGTTGACAGACGACGGGCATAGAAGTGTTGGAGGTGTGGGCAGTTGCTCCGTCCTGTTGAAACCAGGTCTGCGTATTATAGCCTGGAAAATTCTGCAACGCTGGTGTCAAAACCTCTTCTATCATTGCTACATACCGCTCCGAAGTAACAGTTAATGCGCGACCTCTGTGGTCCTCAAAAAATAAGGACCTACAATGCCATGCGCTGACATAGCAGCCCAAACTGTAACTTTAGGGCTGTGTAAGGGCTTCTGATGCTTACGCCTTGGATTTTCGGGGCTCCAATAACGGCAATTTTGTTTATTTACATGCCCGTTTAAATGGAAGTGAGCCTCGTCCGAGAACAACACATTATTGAGCGAAGAAAATCGATTCAACATTTCATTCGCAAAGTTTAGTCTCTGAATAACGTCATTATCTTTTAATTCCTGCACTAACTGAATTTTGTAAGCGTGCAGACGTAAATCTTTCCTTAAAATCCGCTGTAAAGATGTTCTGGGTACGTTTAGTGCACGGTAGAATGACAGCCGATTATCCAGTAACATCTAAAAATTCCCCATATCGGCACAGCCGGATCCGTCAATGCCTGGTAGACAGAGCCATATTTTGTATGCTACAGATTCATTTTGTACTTGCTAAAAGCTCTTTTATTCAGAAAATTTCATTTGCCTACAAAAAACGAAACGCTACAAACACATCAAAGGAAGATAGGACTGGTCATTGTATCATTTCAGATGTTCAAACCACCAAGAGAAATACAGTGCCGTGACAAACATATATGGGACCGTCGGTGTAGGCCAAGCGATAATCTTCTGTCACACCCGCCGAACTGCAGCTTGGTTGGCAGAACGGATGACAAAAGACGGTCATGCTGTTGCCGTTATTTCGGGAGATTTGACTGTCGAGCAACTGATTAGCGTACTTGATCGGTTCAGAGAAGGCCGTGAGAAGGTTCTCATTACTACAAACGTACTAGCGAGAGGAATCGACGTGGATCAGGTTACCATCGTAGTTAACTTCGATCTGCCTGTGGATACTAGTGGAAAGGCGGATTGCGAAACATACTTGCATAGGTATGTATTATAGCACTTAACAAAAATTAACATCAAAAATATATAAATACAATAAATAAATTATAGTACAGTACTACGAGTAGATAGTGGTATTATACAGGGCGATTCACAAGATATCAAACATATTCAGAAGAATGGGATGATCAAACAGTCTACTTAGATATTCCCCTAATAACTTGAAAAGGAGGATGTTGTTGCTTAAAAAAAGCGCTGATTTTGATATTGCTTGTTCCAGAATCGGACGTACTGGAAGATTTGGCAAAGTTGGAATCGCCATAAATGTGGTCGACTCCGAGGAGGCTATGAACGTCTGCAAGACTATCGAGAAGCACTTCAACAAAAAAATCCATTACTTGGATGCAGAAGATTCGGATGAAATCGAAAAAATTGGAAATTAAAAACATATACATATTTAAAAATAAGGGTTAATTTTTACTGTGAAGCCCGGTTAAGCGAACCGATTCCTAAGTTATTATTCTGTAACGTATGCTTAAGAAATGTTAGATGCTTACTTTTTATAATGAATGTTTAATTTAAGTGACTGTTTTCCGGAAAATTCTGCTGTTGATATTCCTATGAAACTTGGAAAAAATAAATCGTATCTAGAATCTGTGGGTTTCATTTATACATATTTATACCATTGATACCCTTCATTTATCTGTGGAATACAATATTTGTCAAATGCACCTCCATATAGAACAAAATATCTCATTTCTGAATCACCCTGTATTGTACAGCTATAGATGAAAAGGCATGTCCGACCGTTTTTCCCAAAATGTACCAGGTGACTCACAAAATGATGATTTCCCAAAAGCAAAAGTATAATTAATGCGCCAAAATGCAGAGTCCTAGATTAAACTCGGAAAAATAATGAGAACAGGGTGCTGCAGATAATTTTCATTTCATTTTTTCTCTCATTCACTTAACGAGTTTTTATAATAGAAACATGAAAATTGAGAATTGTGCGCATTGTTAGGATGAGGAATATAATTATATTGCGCTGTACCATGAGGGTTCCAAAAGGAATCCCTCTTACAGGTCCCATCTAGGCTAGATAGTGGATTTGGACACTGGTAATCATGTGTAAAGTAATCTAAAGTATCATTATTCGCATGGACAACTAAACCTGAAACTATTCCACTGTCTACGAGTTTCCTAATTACATCTGCAGTTAGTATTTTCACAGGCATTACAGGAATGTACGGTGGAGCAGTACCGTTGTGTAGTATAAAATCTAGTTTTTCTGTTGTTTCTGCATAGAAAATTACACCTGTTGACCCATCTCGCTCCGCTGAAAGAAATTAAATCAGCAAACAGAATATACAAATACTGGCTGCAATCTTACAGGAACAACCAATCTGGTGTGTAGCATTCAATCGTCTATAACACCCTCTAGCCCCTGTGATTCTTTCATACATTTTATCTTTAGTTCTTTCTCCATATCCTGAAAACAAGACGAGTATAATAGCGAACATCTGAAATTACCTACCACAATTACCTATACTAAGGATACATAATATAAAACAAGCATTTAATGTACATTTTGTAGTTTTATTCATGATTCTCCAAAAAATATTTATGTTTTGACACATGAAAACACCCCCGTAAGCCCCCCTTAACCTCTCAAATGTCAGACATTATGTCAAAACGATGTTGCCAACCCATAAAAGAAAAACGCACAGAACAAAGAAAATAGGACGATTGCGTTATAGTCCAGGGTGCCGCTATCGATTTGACAATATTCAAAATGATATTTCGTGATTTATACTGGAACAGTCGCAAAGCCCTAAGCACTAAGATACTACGTCTGATACAGAATGAGTGAGAGCAAGCGGTCGAAGTCTGGCAAGCCTATTGCGAGGCGGCATCTTGGAAGGAGCAAGGTCAGTTGGCATATCGGCGGTAAAACAGAGAAGCATCAACCGCCCACCACTTTGAGAACGTCTGTCACGGAAGCGTCATCGATATATGACATCACGAAAAACCATTTCGCTAATCTCATAAACTACTCGAGAAGTCCGCTCGGATTTCGATGAAATATTTACACAATGTTAAGGACACAAAAGCTTTGTAGGGACGGCAGGAATGTCTGTTCCTTTATGTACTAAAGTGAAGCTCAAATTCATTTCTTGAACCTGACACTTTTATTGAATTCAAAATTGGATATATACCTAGTTCAAATATAGATCACATCAGTGTCTACTCGTATTAAATACCCGAACACCTCTAAAACTTGACGATCACACATTTTTTAGAAATGTACACATGGGTAATACCGAGACAATCTACTTGATGCAACTTTCCAATGTTTTTGCTTGATTTTTTGCATCATATTTAGTAAACATTAGTGTCAAAGCACGATATGAGATATTGAAAATGATATTGGACTAAAAATAGTTTTTTGTTCGAGGGTTTGCTTTGTTTTTAGATTTTTCAGAAATGAACGAAAGTACATAAGAATACTTACAAGAGCGTTAGAATTGTGCACGTTTCTGTAAATTTATTTGTATAATAATGCATTACAGGGAGATCAAGATAAGGATCAGACTAGGTTTAATTCAGTAATCACATCTGACATCAAACAATAGAAAAAAACACGTTTGTTTATAACTAATGTAACCTGATACATCGTTGAAGTAGTAGAAAAAGAGGCTATTAGATACAGTAGTACTTTTTTTGAATCATATAAAAGTTGATGATGGTTTCTCAAAAACGAAACGTCAAGCACAAAATTTAAAAACACCATCACGTAGTGCCATTGGTTTTTTGATATTTCTTAAAATAATGTCAGACAAAAATAAAAACGATTTGGCCAAATATTAGTTGTTTCCAAATACCTCAGTATATGACTAACCGCTCAGGGTATGCAATGTGCGCAATTTATTTAAAAAACACAGGATGTCCACCCTAACACACAAGTAGATGAGTATGCAAGGCTTACCTAGTTCGCTGCACAGATATCCTGTTTTCCTCAGAAGAGTTGGAAGTAGACCTGATTTCCACTTTGGAGAAACTTGACACCCACTTCACAACACTGAGAGACAATCGAGAGCCCTATAGTGAACACCACCACTGAAAAACGAAGCGAAAACAAGTAGAGCTTTGCACGGAGCTGTGAATGCGTAGACACTCCGCCGCGCCCACGGTTGCCGAGAGACTGAAGCGTGTGCTGTACCTCGCTGCGGCGAGACGGAACGGCCGGGTAGTACAGCCACACCCCTTTCCAGCTCCCACTCCGCGCGCCTGCTCCCGAAGCGACTCGTTGTTTACGTTGGCCGGTAGCAGACGCGCAGAGTAGGAGGTGGAAAGGGGTGTGTGTGTACTACCCGGCCGTACCGTATCGCCGCAGCAAGGTACAGCACAGCTGCGCCGACGATTACCGACAGATTAAAGCGTGTGGGTGCTGTATCTCGATGTTTACGTTGCACGACAGCAGGCGCGCGGAGTGGGAGCTGGAAAGGGGCGTGGCTGTACTACCCGGCCGTACTGTATCGCCGCAGCGAGGTACAGCACTCACACGCTTCAGTCTCTCGGCAACCGTCAGCGCAGCGGAATGTCTACGCGGTCACAGCTCCGTGCAGAGCTTTATTCGATTTAGCTACTTTTTTTCAGTAGTGGTGTTCACTATAGGGTTCTCGATTATCTCTTCAAATTAAAATTTTCAGGTATTGATGAGACCACATGTAAAAAGATCCGACTAACCGCAATCCAGGTGACAAGAATAACAAGGTCAACTGTCAAAACGTATGTCTATGCTGGGGTAACGACGGAGTCATTTAGAACGTCAAAGCGGCAGTTTTCCAATCTTCATTTGCATTTTTTTTTTTTGTTGTGCGACGATTTCGAGAATAATTTCGCTCCGGATAGTCTTCTAGAGCCTAGTAGACTATATTTCAATAGTTGTCTTGCGTGGCTATGTTATCTTTACTCGGGCAAATTTTGTTTTTGATTTATCACCCCGTATCTTGAAAACTCTGCATTCAGGACCCATGTTCATAGAAACTTTTATATACAGGGTGTCCGCAAAGTTGGGGTTTTCCTTTTCAGAAACAACTACCCTTGAAATAACAAAGGTAATGTGTAGTGAAACGAGGGCGACCAAGTAAAAAAAAATAAAGGAAAAAGTACTCACTCTCCAGTTGACGAGAATGGCTAAGTACGTCTCTGCCTGAAATCGAAAATTATTCACCCCATTACGCGTGAACGTAGATTCGTCTGTCACCAATATGCACTTCAAAAAGTCCGGATTATTGTCATGTTGATGCAACAACCACTCACAAAACCGCACTCTTGCTGGAAAATCGTCAGGTTGAAGGGCTTGTACACGTTGGACGTTTGCCACACTTTAGTTTTTGATACTTGCACGTCTCTAGTGCTTGTTGAGGGATTCTCGTCTACGCGATTCAGTAGTTCTTCCTCAACTTGCACCATTCGTGGTTGTCGAGGCCTCCCACTGTGCCCACCTCGAAATTCCCCCAAATGGCCGTATCCCTGACGGTCTGGACCAGGTACACAAATCTGCGGGGCCTTGGATGATGTCGTCTAGGGAAACGATCTGCATATACTCGCGACGATTCTGTAGCATTTTGAAGACATTCGCCATAAATTAACAACATATCAACGAGTTCATTATTGGTGTATGAGTGTGCCATTATTATTTTTTTTTTGAAACGCAATCGATTATACGGGTTCGTTACCTCTATACGCGTGACCCTTTACCGTCGGTTGAAGGTTGCATACTGACCTGACACAGTTCTGTCATCGGGTTGAGCCACTGACCTTGTACCAGTCGGTGCTGTCGCGGCTACAGGACGGTATTCAGATATTTTTGATGTTGCAGAGCCCTTTATCTCGGTTCCCTTAAGACATTGGTGTATATGGTACTAAGGAAAATTGCTTATGTTTTCAAGATCTACACGTCGTGTAAAGGAAAACCCCAACTTTGCGGACACCCTGTATATTTTTTAACAAGGAATCACCCTATATCTGCGTCTATTTCTCGAACACCCTGTAGAAAGTTGGGAATGTTTTGTTTCTGGAAGTCCCCGAGTGTTGGCAGCACTGTTTGCTCTGTTTTGACAACTACTGTAACCTTACATTTCAATTTTTTACTCTCCGATTTCCGGAATTGTAGTTCTAGTAAATTTTCAAGTTCTGGACTGAACTCCTTTTCTAAGATGTCTCAGAAAGTGGATTGGGCAAAATACGTGGCAGAAACAGAGCAAAATATTACGAATAAGGTGAGGACTAGTTTTTAAGTTGTTGAGCCAACCTATTGAGAATATCCATCTTATAGCTCAACACTGTAGAGATCAGCAGTAGCGAGGAGGAAAAGAAAGAAAAAGTCGAAGAAAACGATGAAAACGCACCGGAACAATTCAGCCCGGCCGAAGCTAGTTTGCTGGCTAAAATAATTCGTAAAGGGCTTGTAGAAAACAAAAACAGCATTGAAGTACAAAGGAAAGATCCCAAATCTCCGCTGTACTCCATCAAATCGTTTGAAGCTTTGAATCTCGCACCCAATCTTCTGAAAGGTGTTTATGGAATGGGGTTCAATGCACCCTCAAAATACAAGAAACTGCTTTGCCGACATTACTTGCAGATCCACCACAAAATTTGATAGCGCAAAGTCAGTCTGGCACAGGAAAAACCGCCGCATTTGTCCTAGCAATGCTCAGCAGAGTTGATGTAACTCAAAATTATCCTCAAGTGCTCTGCCTATCACCTACATATGAACTAGCAGTTCAAACAGGCGAAGTGGCAGCTCATATGGCAAAATTCTGTCCAGAAATCGAGATGAAGTTTGCTGTTAGAGGTGAAGAGGTCCCTATAGGTATGAAACTCACAGAGCACATTATCATTGGCACCCCAGGCAAAGTGTTAGATTGGAGCATGAAGTTTAGAGTTTTTGATCTCAAGAAAATAAAGGTGTTCGTGTTAGATGAAGCTGACGTGATGATAGCCCAGAAAGGCCATCAAGATCAATGCATCAAGATACATAAGAATCTTAGCACCAGTTGTCAAATGATGTTCTTCTCGGCTACTTATGGCCAAGAAGTTATAGAGTTTGCAGAACACATTGTCAAGAATCCTATTATTGTCAGACTGAAGAGAGAGGAAGAGAGCTTGGATAACATTAAACAATATTATGTTAGGTAAGAGAGATCTTTACTTTACACATATTCACAGCTTTTGTAAGTGATGTTAAAAAATAGTATCAACTAAACTGGTGGACAGTTGCTTGAAAGATTTTACCCAAATTCAAATGTTTTTGGAACGAAAAGAGATATCGAGTTGTAGTATTCGGAAAGTTCTTGACCAACTCTTTGAGAACATGCGCAGAGTTTGACCGGTATATTTAATTTAATTATCTGCTTATACAGGGTGAGCAAAGCATGTCAAGTTTGGGGCTATGTCAGCTTCTCAATTTTTAACCTTGAAATTTTTTCTATGCAGCTTTTTGATCTTTTTAGTATCCAAAAAAAGGGATATCTCAAATTTTTCGACAGTTGGCTCTAACTCAAATTTTTAACTTACTGCAAATAGGACGTTTCTCAGGTTTCATCCTAACTACATACCTAAAAAGAATGAAAAAATTGTATAAGATTATTGGGAGAAGGTCGTTTAGTGAATGATGTCGGTGGTGATATCCCGCAATTCTCCTCAAAGTTTTTGAAAACACAAAAAAAACCTGGAAAAATCGTAATTTATTACTTTGAACATAACCTGTCTTCAAAAATGACGACATACAGGGTTTGCCCGGAAAGTAGTAGGACTGAGTCGATTTAAAAAAATTTATTGAGCCAATCGTTACAATTCGGTTCGCGCACGCCCCGAAGTACAGACATGGCGGAAGAAAATGAGTCCTATTACTTTCCGGACAAACCCTGTATATACCCTATTTCACGGGTATCCGTCACAGTAGAATGACAGCCGATTATTGAGTAACATCTAAAAATTCCCCATATCGGCACAGCCGGATCCGTCAATGCCTGGTAGACAGAGCCATATTTTGTATGCCACAGATTCATTCTGTACTTGCTAAAAGCTCTTTCATTTAGAAAATTTCTTTTGCATACAAAAAACGAAACGCTACAAACAC